CGTGAGCAAAGGAAAGTCTGAAAAAAGTAGTCATGTTTTGCCTGGTCGAAATTCAGTCACTTCGAAACTGAGGAAATTTTTCGTTCCGTAAAAACCAGCCAGTTTCAGGACATTACTGTTTATCGATTGATTAATTGCCCTTTGCAGCTAGTCACGTGGTACAAGACCGGCGCCATGCTGGAGGTTTGAGACACAGATTTGTCAGTTTTACCCCAAATGTGATTCGACCTTAAGTTTAGCCCATGTTATTAGACAAGTAATCAATTTTCATCGTATATAAAGTCATCAAGAGATCATAAATTTATAATGAGTGGAATCAATAAATTCGCCAAATTGCAACGAATGTCTCAGATTTAGCAAGGATTAGCGGAAGTTAAAACTGCATTTTCCCCCTGCATGAAAATTAAACTATCGGCAAAAAGAAACGAAAAATGATTGGAGGAAATAAAAAGGTTTTTACTAATAGTGTGAACAGATCGGAAAAAAATTTGTGACATATTTTCCACGTTCTGACTTTTTTGATCATTATATTCTGAATTGAAAGTAATTCGTGAATCGAGTTACAATTCGCTTTTTGATATCAATCCAGTGTTTAGATTTTATCTACGTTAAAACACACAAAGCGAAAATAAACTCAACTATGATACGTCATGGTTTTCTCTCCATGTCTCTAAACTTCTTGCATGCACAATTTCACTGCATTTTCAAAAAAGTATCTTTAATTTTATATCGAGACCTTTATATCACTGAAATTTTAAATCATAACATAAAATCAGATGAATTTTCCCGCCAAGCTTCTGCTTCTTTTACAGTCTAGCGAGCTTATACGGAGCCACTGGCGCAATAAAAACAAAAATGAACAATTAAAGTCTGGCTTCTCTGTTATAACCTTGACTTATGATACACCTTTTATGTTTGGTGGAAGGGTTTGGTTCCTGCCTTCAAAAAAAATGTTTGCTTCTCAAGAGTTTAACATAACCCACTCAAAATTGTTTCCTCTTCCCCCTTTTTTCATAAAAGAGGGGCAAAGAGTACACTAAGAGCCATGCTTTTAAATTAAGAACTATGAATAACACTCTTCTTTTAAAAGAGTAATTCTTTTTACATACACTCTTAAACCAAAGAACAAAAGATATTACTAATAGGCCATTTGCCCATTGACGTCATTTTACTTCTACCAGAATTCTTCAAAGTCTTGCTTTCTTGTGCAAATTAGCGCTTTTGTCATTTAGACCTAGCTGAGATTACCAAATTTTAATATGAAAGAAAAACGAAATGGCTACTGGTAGTAGAAGTAAAAGTACGCCGTATTGCAAATGGCAGTATTCCCAGGCGTCGAACGTCTGGTAATCAAAGTAGTCCTCTTTTGTTGTGAGTTTTTTGGAGGGTTCAAGTTGTCCGCACTCACACACTGACCTTGGTTTTAAGCTAACCGCTCTTCCTTGGTATAACAACCATTGTCTTATAAGAGGTTCGAACCTTTTAGCATGACTCATGCTTCAATTCTACTTATATAGTCACAATCATTGAAACCTCAAGCATATTCTGCATATGGGGAACAGGGTTTATCAACTGTAAGGTTTGTCTTTTATCCTTATATAATGATCGTGCCATTACGCAGTGCTATAACGCTGAATTTTCTATCAAGCTTGGTAGGAGTGATGTTGTCGATAAGCTTGATAAAAAACGGTCGAGTGATTTTAAGCTTCCTCTTATAACGAAAAAAGAAAGGAAAAATGTGGACAAATGCCTATATATCCAAATAGCGCAGTAAATAAATCGAAATACTGCGCTTTCGCTGAAGGGAAAGAAATTACAAGTAACAGTTGATGTAAAGGAAAAAATAATTCTGTGAATTTCATAGAATGGTAGTTGACGAGGAAAGAAAGAAATCAATATGGATGAGCTCTTCGAAATACGCTCTAATCAGCCAATCAGCAGCCAAATGTCTGTCGTACAGAGCACTAATTAAGGTTTAAGCCGCTTTTACTCATCAAACAACATTGTTCATCAGTCAAACAGAAGGACGCAAGATTTACTTTAGATTTTTTTTATTTAATCATACAAGCCAAGCAAACGGCATGTTATTATTTGAGAAGGATTTCTATCTTCGCGTAATTTTTACGCGCGTTGCTATATACGAGGGTATTAATTAAAACAGAGAAGAGGAAATGTTTGAAATTAAGGTCGCCCGAAAAAAAAAACTTACTTAATTTTTACTTATACACGCGACGTTCACAGATCACTTCTACTAACGTAAAGGCAGTTTACGTTGACGTCTGTATAGGCTAATAAAATTTATGTGATATCGGGAATTGTACTAAGGTTACCATATAATTGAAAAAACTGATAAAGTAGAGTGAGATAAAGAAACATGCGAACCATTCCTCTCAGATCAGACAGCCGTTCGACATCTTTGGATCAAATTTCATGAATTTTATGGTATCTCCATCGTAAGTGCTAACATAGGATAAAAGAGGAGAACTTAGCAACCCCACTTTTACAGTGGTAAAGATACTAACTCTCTAAAGAAGAAAAAAAGATAATACAAACATTTTGATTCCGGAAATTGCAGCAAGCGCCGCAGTACTTTTTACAGTTTAGTCCATTTCCTCTGTTAGTTTGAAATTAATTTTGCTGGTGCAATTGTCAACTCTACGAAATCAACTTTAATCAAGTTTATCGAGTGTACTACCGCAATTATATTAATCTTGTGTATTTTTCTGTCAATCAGCTATGGTCGGGCTACCGTGCAAAATAAAATCGCTGCAAAGTCTTTCCCTTCCTTTCGTACTATGACTGAGATGAAGATACCAGCGATCGGATTTGAAGGCTAATAAAAAATAAATCGTACTAGAAGTTCTCAGGTCTTTGGGTTTATTTGGGACCAAGCAAACATAGAGCGCTAGGTCTTTTCTGTTTTGCGAAAAAGTATATTTAAAAAATATACTTTTTCGCTTACTGAAAAGTAATTTAGAACTATTTATTGTTTGGATGTATTTTAGCATAACTACCTGACACTGCACTGAAACTTCTTTTATTCTTAAAAAAAATATATTTTTGCTGATAAGTAGTTTTCAGTCTCAATATGGATTGTTCACCCCTTTTTATATTTAGCGCGATTTTTGGAAACGTTACCGCCAAATAGACCTTTTGCGTCCAACAGTATTTTTCGGCCAAAAACTATCTCTAAAGTAGCCATTATCAAGAGCCACAATAGGACCCTATTATGGCTCTTGCCAATATAAAAACTAAGAGTGCAACCATTGCTTTTTTCTCTTCTCCTCCTTTCTTCCTCCTAGGCCTCGCTCTTTCTTTTTCTCCTGTTCTTTTCCCTCGTTAGTGTGAGTTTTGAGCTTATCGGGGCCAAAAAAACTGCCTTTTGACGCCTTTTCACTCAAATGACTGCAAATTTCGTTAGGTTGGTTTTCAAAGAATCGGTTAGATACATGTTATCCTCAAAAACATTGAATCAGTTTTAAACACATATTTGAAAAGATTCTGCAAAAAAATGTCGCGTAGAAATTGATGGTACTTTGTTTAGAACCTTAAACGCGTGCTATGATATTAGCGGGTCCACCCCTATTCCCCAGGGTGCTCCCCTTGAGCGGGTCCAGCCATAGTCCCCAGGGTGCCCCCCTCACCTGTGTTACAGTGATATGGGCATCCCCGAGTTTTGGGTATCCCTATTCCCAAGACCCTAGTGATACCATATGGGCATCCCCTTCTCATATTACCTTAGCGATTTAGGTTAGGGTTGGGGTTACAGGGGATGCCCATATAACTAGGGTTTTGGGAATGCGGATGCCCGAAAACGCGGGGATGCCCATACCACTGTGTCACTGGGTCCACCCTTAGTCCCCAGGGCGCTCCCCCTCACCCGGTCTACCCTTCCCCAGGGCGTTCCCGCTCACCGGGTCCACCAGTAGTACACAGGGCGCTCCCCCTTGGCGTGTCCACCATTAGTATTGAGCGGGTCAGTAGTACGTTTCGCATAAATTTGGAAAAACAAGAGCCATAAGCCATTATGGCTCTTGGAAAAATTATTAGCACAACGTCAAAAAATTGTAACGCAAATTTTATAATCATGAAGATTATGTGGTGTGGTTTTTAATTTATCACGGCTATTGAAAATATAACGTTCGAAATATATTTACGTTTTATTTGAAATTACTAAACACCATGCACACTTTAAATCTCTGGTGTGGGATTTTCAGTAGCAGTTCGAGATCGCGCAAATTTCCGCTTTTACCGATTTCAAATTCAAAAAGAGGAGTGTAGGGGGGGAAAAACCGCAAAAGGGAAAAGAGAAAAGGGAGCCCCCATTAAAAGCCGGCGCGTTTTATTTGCATTCCGCCCCGCAACGTCCTAACTAATCCGCCTTAACAGTCACCTGAACCCAGTTGTTCGAAGGCCGATTAGCGCTTAACCCGGGGTTAAATTTAACCCAGGTTACTTTTTCCTGTGTTCAAATGCATTTTCTCGGATAATTTTCTGTGCTATTTTTAGAGCTTCCAATCATCAACTTGTAGACAAAAAGAATTAAAACTGAAATGCTTTCTAAGCTTTCATATCTGAATTCAAATCTCGCACTAACCCTGAGTTATCTTAACCCAGCTTTGAACAACTCGGCCCTGAGCTTAAAAGAGGAACAACAGTCTTAACTTTTTCTTTTCGCTTTCTCTCGCTTTTCTTGATGAAACAAATGAAATTGATTGAGTGTTTATAAAATAATCAGTTGTGGTGATTTTATGCGAAAATAATGTTCCTTTCGCTAACAGTCGTGGAAATGGAAATGTAGGTTCTTTTTGGGTGTGCCAATGTTATATTAGTTTCACAGCGGTGAGCTGTTTTCCCTGGACATACCCGTGTTAAACTGAATGCGAACTTTTAAGCCATCTTTTAAACATACTATGTACATCAATCGACATCCTCTTTTTCGTGATGGACTTTGAACGGCTATGCTTAGTTTTTCAGCCTGCTGGTGGTATTAGTCCAGATTAGTCTAAGGACTGTTCAACTTCTTCTTGACTTGTCGGCTTTAGACATGAATGTATTATGTCCCTTAATTGTTTTGTATAAGTATCGTTCATCATCGTATAGCAGACAGGATTCAGAGCACTGTTTAAGAACACGACAATGTTGCCAAATGACAAAAGCTCTGAAAAATAAGCAAAGTGTTTGTCCGCTTCTCCGAAGTCCAACCACAACCATAAAATGTTATTTGGTAGGACGCAAACGGCAAATAACAGCGTCACTATAATGAGCATTCGTGAAACCTTACGGCCTTCCTGAATACGAATTCTACGTATGATAGTTATCTCTCGTGTCTTTTGTCTGTTGAGGTCTTGAGCAATAGCTAAATGAGCGCATGAGATTACTGTCAGTGGTACTACATATTGAAAAAGGAAAAGGCAGATGGTGTAAGTTCTTCTTGAACGTACGTCTTTCCAATATTCCTCACAAGTCAGAGTTGAGCTATTAAATCGTAGCGTTGCCATATATGGCGACACAGGGAGAAACGATACCACCCAGATGGCCATGATCACCCACTTGACTTTATCAGTGGTCAGCTGTTGTTTTAGCGGATGCACCACTGCCCGATATCTCGTCAGGCTTAGTGCAAAGAGGGTGTAAACTGAAGCAAACAGAATTTGGGTTTGTAATGGGTAGATAACCTTACACATGAAACCACCGTAAGGCCAAACATAGTTCATTTGTTGCACTGGTATATCGAGTGGTATACAAACGCAGGTAAAAATAAGGTCAGCGATTGCCAGATTTAGAATCAAATAGTTAACGACCGACTTCATTCTTCTCCTTCTTATAATTATAAAACACACCAAACCATTTCCTACCGCACTGGTAACAAAGATAACTACATAAAGGACAACGTTTGCGATCCTCCAATACTTGATAAACGTGCTCAGTTTTCCCGCGATGGCAGTGGACGAAGAGGAGGTGAAATTTTCACGGAGGAGTTGCCAAGAAATTGTTCCCTCGGGCACAAGGATGGTTAAATTGGCCATGTTTCTTTGTCAAATTAGAGTAAACAGAAAAATTTGAATTCACCCGTGATTTTAGACCATCCGATTAATGACATGTCCTCGCCACCTAGAGGTTAAAAAAGCGATATTACAAGATCATATTATTTGATTTTTGAATACTAATTTGATGGGAAAGTTAGCAAACAAGAAAAAAAGGTAAAGAAAACAAAAACATATTAAAACTGCTGTGTAATTAAAAAAGGTTAAAAAAGGTTATTAAAAGCTGGGTGAGTAAATAATATCCCGTGATCATGAATTTATAAGACCTTCAAAACGTAAAATCTTAAAAGTCAGTGAGCCGAGTCAAAAGACGAATTTAAGAGTAAAGCCATATAACGCAGTGAGTTTCACTGAAATGCTGGCGCTTTAATCCTCGAGAAAGCCAAGGAAATTGGGTTGAACATTTGTAGGTCTAATGAAAGTGACTGGGATGCCTGTCGTTTTGCTCAGGGGTAGAGAGATTGCATAATGTGGTCTCACTTAGGGTAGACTGCAAAACAGTCGCTTTTTTTCCCCTCAAAATCGGTTTAGTGTAGCGTTAAAGAGTCTCACGCGCGCGAGCCTCACACGCCCGTAGGGCCAGTCTCGCTCTCCGTTTTCAGACTCACTCTAGGCCCCGGTTGTTCAATGGATAGCACTATCCACTGGATAAATCACTATCGAGTGGATAAGTATTAGGAAAACCAGTTGCGCTATCCAGTGGATAGAGATTTATCCGATGGATAGCCTTATCCACCTTTTGAACAACCGGGGCCCGACCTTTTGTTTGACTTTTCGCGCGTTCTTGAATGCGTAAAAATACGGACTGTTTTGCAGTCTACACTTTGGGCGTTTAGAACAGAAAACCAATATGATGGAGAGTGGTCTCCTTTATTTAGGGATCAAATGGAGTCTACTAAGGCCACGCACAGATTTGTCTTCTTTAGGGATGCAATTCTAAATTTCCAATACCATCCTCGCTTTTTCTTTATGTCTTCTAGGGTCGTAGAAGTCTTAACAGGACTCTGAAAACCTTTACTGGATGAGCGACCACGCAGGCTAGCTATTGTACACCTTTTATGTTTAATCTATTTTCTGCAATCGCGGTTGGCACTAACTGCATGAAACAAGAGGACGAACAGTGCCGCTCTAAGGCGATGACTCTTAACTACATAAAGTAAACATTTTCATTTTAGCGGAAACGTGAAAACAATAATGAGACGACGAAACTTACATTAACCGACTTCGTTTTTTGTCCTCTTTAGCGGAATCGTAGACGATATACTGGATGTATCGCTTAATGTTCTTTCCACCATATGATGCTGGCTAGCGGCTAATCTATCCCAACAGCATTTAGAAGAATATCAGATTTGTTTGCTGGTATAAATCAAAACTACTTTGCTTTTGCCTGCTCAGTTTGTAAAAATTGACCGTCATGTGACAGATAGCGGATATTGTCTTTTACTGCCTCGTTTCTATACATCTGATTTTATGGCTTTTTTTTTTCTTCTTCTTCTTCTCCTTTTTTTCTGGAGACTTCTCAGCTACGTGTTAAACATTGTAGTATACCTTGAAAGACAAATTGATAAGTAATTGTGCAAATGAATTGATTCATTAATTAACATTTATACTTAGGTGACGGTTAAATTCGTCACAAGGCTCTCTCTTCTTTCCAATTAACCATTTTGTTGTTTAACGCAGTTCATGATCAAAATTTCTTTCATAATTTGAGTCTTATAGTTCAAGGATATACGAGGTTTAAGGTAGTACACGCTTGTAATAAGTAACTATGATACTTATTTAACATTTCAAGTTAACTTTTAATCAAAGTTGTATCGTCTGGGTACTGTAAGGATGTTTTCTGTTTTAAAAGCAATTAACTTGAGGTAGGCCAGCTGTCTTCGTGTTATACTTTCACGAAGATTAGACTAAGTGTTTGGGTTTTTAGAAATTCTATTGGTTCGAGATGTCCCTTTCCAAGTCTTTCACTGGTTAATTTCTCTTTGTCACTCAACAACTTAGTTTATTGGTGTGTTTTGGCCCACTTTGTCTTCAACGAGAAGTACAGCAAACCCAGAATTTGTAGTACTAGTTGTTAGCTGTAAGGGATTACCGGGAAAACTGCACATTAAAGACACTAATGGACGAGAGTGGAAAATTTGGCCTTGAATTCGAAATGGAAGTCTGTCTGATTCCGAAGACGGAAATGACAGGTATGCTTAGCATTGTCTGACAAATAAAGTAACAAAGACAAACGATTTCGCCGCACAACACGAAACCAAATATAATAATAATAGTAATGATGATGATGATGATAATAATAATAATAATAATAATAATAATAATAATAATAATATTAATGATGGTAATAATAATAATAATAACAATAAAGCACCACTATTAGCGACAAATGAAAGTCATCATTAAATAATAAGTTAAAGTACAGGACGCTGCATGGATAATCATAATAACTGCTAGGCTATTATTCTGAGCGTATAGATTGAACATAATAGAAGGAGTTGATTCATGACGACACTATCCAGGTTCTTTGTACATGTTATAAATTAGAAATAAGGCTGGCTTATTCAGCTCTATGACTATCTGGATTAAACTCATCAGGTAGTTGGCGATTCATCGGCGGATCACATTTTGACCTGCTCCCCGTGTCTATCTGTTCTTCGGCCAAAAATCTTAGCGTGTTTTTGCAGTCATATTATCATACATCTCGCAGACAAAAATACAATTAAAGGTAAAGGAAAAGTAGACGAAATAACATGAAATACAATTAAAATAATAAAAGACTAATTAATATAACCAATACAGATAAAGGTTCATCACGCAAAATTGGGGTGTTCTTTCGTATATCTGATGCCTATTGAATATTTATTCATGATTGAAGATTCTCTTCAACCCCATTTTTTCTCCACATTCCAAGCAGAAGTAAGCCACTAAAAGAACTAACAATGCTATCAATTGTTCTGTCGTTTTTAAATTGATTCTAATTAACTTTGCTCACATCTAAGGTCCTTTCTGGCGAATCCAATATTGAATATCCACGTTGGTAGACATCTCCCATGTGAAGCAGACGTTGTTTACAATTTACAAAAAGTTTCCGGAAAATCAGGCCATAAAGTAAATTTTAGTTCTGATGGTTCTAGTGGAATATTTTCGTGAGCAAAGGAAAGTCTGAAAAAGTAGTCATGTTTTGCCTGGTCGAAATTCAGTCACTTCGAAACTGAGGAAATTTTTCGTTCCGTAAAAACCAGCCAGTTTCAGGACATTACTGTTTATCGATTGATTAATTGCCCTTTGCAGCTAGTCACGTGGTACAAGACCGGCGCCATGCTGGAGGTTTGAGACACAGATTTGTCAGTTTTACCCCAAATGTGATTCGACCTTAAGTTTAGCCCATGTTATTAGACAAGTAATCAATTTTCATCGTATATAAAGTCATCAAGAGATCATAAATTTATAATGAGTGGAATCAATAAATTCGCCAAATTGCAACGAATGTCTCAGATGTAGCAAGGATTAGCGGAAGTTAAAACTGCATTTTCCCCCTGCATGAAAATTAAACTATCGGCAAAAAGAAACGAAAAATGATTGGAGGAAATAAAAAGGTTTTTACTAATAGTGTGAACAGATCGGAAAAAAATTTGTGACATATTTTCCACGTTCTGACTTTTTTGATCATTATATTCTGAATTGAAAGTAATTCGTGAATCGAGTTACAATTCGCTTTTTGATATCAATCCAGTGTTTAGATTTTATCTACGTTAAAACACACAAAGCGAAAATAAACTCAACTATGATACGTCATGGTTTTCTCTCCATGTCTCTAAACTTCTTGCATACACAATTTCACTGCATTTTCAAAAAAGTATCTTTAATTTTATATCGAGACCTTTATATCACTGAAATTTTAAATCATAACATAAAATCAGATGAATTTTCCCGCCAAGCTTCTGCTTCTTTTACAGTCTAGCGAGCTTATACGGAGCCACTGGCGCAATAAAAACAAAAATGAACAATTAAAGTCTGGCTTCTCTGTTATAACCTTGACTTATGATACACCTTTTATGTTTGGTGGAAGGGTTTGGTTCCTGCCTTCAAAAAAAATGTTTGCTTCTCAAGAGTTTAACATAACCCACTCAAAATTGTTTCCTCTTCCCCCTTTTTTCATAAAAGAGGGGCAAAGAGTACACTAAGAGCCATGCTTTTAAATTAAGAACTATGAATAACACTCTTCTTTTAAAAGAGTAATTCTTTTTACATACACTCTTAAACCAAAGAACAAAAGATATTACTAATAGGCCATTTGCCCATTGACGTCATTTTACTTCTACCAGAATTCTTCAAAGTCTTGCTTTCTTGTGCAAATTAGCGCTTTTGTCATTTAGACCTAGCTGAGATTACCAAATTTTAATATGAAAGAAAAACGAAATGGCTACTGGTAGTAGAAGTAAAAGTACGCCGTATTGCAAATGGCAGTATTCCCAGGCGTCGAACGTCTGGTAATCAAAGTAGTCCTCTTTTGTTGTGAGTTTTTTGGAGGGTTCAAGTTGTCCGCACTCACACACTGACCTTGGTTTTAAGCTAACCGCTCTTCCTTGGTATAACAACCATTGTCTTATAAGAGGTTCGAACCTTTTAGCATGACTCATGCTTCAATTCTACTTATATAGTCACAATCATTGAAACCTCAAGCATATTCTGCATATGGGGAACAGGGTTTATCAACTGTAAGGTTTGTCTTTTATCCTTATATAATGATCGTGCCATTACGCAGTGCTATAACGCTGAATTTTCTATCAAGCTTGGTAGGAGTGATGTTGTCGATAAGCTTGATAAAAAACGGTCGAGTGATTTTAAGCTTCCTCTTATAACGAAAAAAGAAAGGAAAAATGTGGACAAATGCCTATATATCCAAATAGCGCAGTAAATAAATCGAAATACTGCGCTTTCGCTGAAGGGAAAGAAATTACAAGTAACAGTTGATGTAA